AAGATAATCAAGCCTCTAGTCCTGGGCGAACTATGCCCAATCCCACCACTTGATCTCACCATCACAGAAAGGCTCTCAAAATCTGATTGTTTCACAAATTCACTTCAATGAGTTTTGGAGGTTATTTTTGTTATTTGTTCTTGTTCGTTGTGCTTTACACTAGTGCCATTAACTGATGGCAACAGTTATAATTTAAACACATCCTTCCTAGAGGAAATCACTCTTTCTATCTTTTAGGGACCCTTTACTTTGGTGGTGGTTTATTTTCATTTGGACCAGATTGGCATGGACCAACCAGCACGTGGAGGAATGAACTCTGACATAGAGTTCTGTTCTGGTGCTCGAATGTATAATTTCATCTTAAGGTTGTAAGAAGGGGGGAGGGGCGCCCGGGTGGCTCAGTGGGTTAAAACCTCTGCCTTCAGCTCAGGTCATGATCCAGGGGTCCTAGGATCTAGCCCCGCATGGGGTTCTCTGCTCAGCAGGGAGCCTGCTTTCTCCTCTCTCTCTCTGCCTGTCTCTCTGCCTACTCTTGATCTCTGTCTGTTAAATAAATTAAAAAAAAAGGTTGTAAGAAGGGTAAGAGTGACCATTTTAGATGAAGCTTATATTAGAATAATTGCTTAGGGATCATCTTGAAAGTGTAAAAGATAATGACATACTGGGAGTCCTTCACAGCTTACCGTGCAAATCTTGCACCAAAACATATAGATAGAAGAGGTTTCAAAGCTGTTTTGTCCATCCTTCTGCAAGTTTCAACCCTGCTGCTGAATATCTCTGGGCCCCCTGACACTTATATGGTTGGGGATGGAGAGTGCGGGGTACAGTCAGTCCCATCTTGCTCCCTCCTGTTCCGTGGTCTGTCTACGGCAAACAGGCTTTGGGGGCCAAGTAGAAAAGCTGCCGTGGGTCACCAGCACAGAAACTGAGATGGGAGGTTGTGTGGAAAACTCATGAGGAGGAGCTGCCCACTTGGTGAGGCTGTTCAGTGGAGGGGTTCCAAAGGAAGTGGCCAGAGCCCTTCGTAGAGTACCAAAAAAATATTGTATATTCTGCTCTGGCCATTTCAAAGGTTTCTGCCATAATCACCACTGATTTCATATCCATAGATGTTATAAGAAGAAAAATAGGTGATTTTTTTCTAACTTTAAAGGGAGCTGGAAGAGTTTTATAACTCATTATAACAAGAGCCGTGAAGTCTTAAATATTACATCATATTGTGTAAATATTACACAAGTAAACGTCCTATAATAAATACACAATGGGTATACACTATTTCCTTTGACAACAAGTAAACAAATATTCTATTAGCCAGGCTAAAGCCTCTATAAAGATTGTACATCATAGTCAAAGGAAAACCTCACAGGGAGTTACTTCCACACAAACTACTCAATTTTATAACAGGTGTTTTCTTTGGGGGGGGGGGGGTTTTTCCTTTTATGCTTCTAAGTCTTTGCTATAAACCTCACACTACAGTATTATTATTTTTTGTTTAAATAGTCTGTTGTTATTTTAAAAGATTTAGAGAATTTTTTTAAAAATCTCTAAAAAATGTATCCACACTCAGGGCATGTGGATGGCTTGGTCAGTTAAGCACCCAACTCTTGATATCAGCTCAGGTTATGATCTCGAGGTCCTGGGATCCAACCCTGCATCGGCTCTGCACTCAGCAGTGAGCCTGCTGGAGATTCTTTCTCTCTCTCTCTCCCTCTGCCCATACCCCCTGTGCAAGCTCTCTTTCTCTCTAAGTAAATAAATATCAAAAAACAAAAACAGCAACTTACCCAGGGGTGCTGGGGTGGCTGTCATTAAGCGTCTGCCCTCGGCTCAGGTCATGATCCCGGGGTCCTGGATCAAACCCCTCAATGGGCTCTCTGCTTGGCGGGAAGCCTGCTTCTCCCTCCCCCACTCCCCCTGCTTGTGTTCCCTCTCTCGCTGTGTCTCTCTCTATCAAAAAAATAAATAAAATCTTTAAATAAACAAACAAACTTACAGACACTTTTTTTCTTTCGGTACTTTAAAGATGTCATCCCACTGTCTTCTCTCTGGGATCATTTCCAGTGAGAAACTCACTGCTTTCCTTGACTTTGTTTCCCTTATGTATAATGTGTCTTTTTGTCTCTGGCTGATTTTAAGATGTTTCTTTATCATTGGTGTTTGGACAGTTTTATTCTGATGTGCCTTGGTATAGTTTCCTTCATATTTTTTGTGCTTGGGGTTTGCCGAACATCTTGAAACAAACTTTTCTTCGAAACATTTCTTCCAGTGTCTCCCATTCTCTTTGGGACATTCCAGGGACCTATATATTCAGCTATGTGACGTGTCCCACAGCTCACTGATGTTCTTTTTATTTACTTATTTATTTTTTCCTTGAATCTCTGTTTCTGATTTGGAGTAGTTTCTACTGTTATGTCTTCAATTTCACTATTTTTTCTTCTACAATTTCTAAAATGCTATTAATCCTATCCAGTATAAATTTTGCCTGAGACATCGTGTTTTCATCTCTAGAATTTCAATTTGAGTATTTTTTATATCTAGCAGTCTCCCCTTAACATAGTTAATCTCTCTTCTAGCTTCTTAAACATATGGACTATAGTCATAATAATTGCTTTAAAGTCCTTTCTTGTGAATTCTAACATTGTCAGTTCTAGATTGGTTTCAGTTGACTGGGTTTTTTTCCCTCACTATGGGTCATATTTTTTTTGCTTCTTTACATGCCTGGTATTTTTTGTTAGATGCCAGATATTATAGATTTTACCTTGTGGAGGCTAGATATTACTTTATTTCTATAAATGCGCTTGAGCTTAGGTCTGGGACACAGTTGAGTTATTTGGTCCTTTCAAGTCTTTTCAAGTCTCACTTTTAAGATATGTGGTGTGGGGGAAATGCTCATTCTAGGCCTAATTATTCCTCAATCCTAAAGCAAGACCCCTATGAGTACTCTGCCCCACCAGTGCTCTGGGAATTGTGAGGTTTTGGAGTCTGGCTGATAGAAGCATGCACTATTCCCAGCCTGGGGACTCCTAGGCACTGTGTCTTCTAAGCCTCTCCAGTGATTCTTTCCCCAGCCTGTGGTGTTTCTTCACACACATGAGCAGTTCAGCCCCCAGCTAAATACTCAGGAGGGTTTCTGTGAGTTCTCTCTGTGAAGATCTCTCCTCTCTCCCACTCTTCCCTGAAACTCTAGCTGGCTCAGTCATTCCAGACTCTTCAACTCAGAGTATCTGCCAGGTTCTGCCTGGGTCGGCCCTCCCTCGCTACACCACAGCCTATAAACTATCTCAAGGCAGGAAGCTGGGTGATTATACGGCTCGCATTATTTACTCCTACATCTCAGGGACACCCATTTTTAATTGCCTGATGCCCATATTCTTCAAACTGTTTTTCACACACTTTGTCCAGTTTCTTAGTTGTTTCAGGTGGGAGGAAAATCTAGTTCTTATTACTTCAGCTTGCCAGAAGCAGAAGTCTTCTTTAGGTCAATGACCAGTCAATATTTTCCATATTTTACCCTTATCTATACAGTAAGAGAGGTAATAACAAGATCCAAAGACATTGTTTTTTCAAATTTCTTCCATGTGTCTAGGATTCAGCTGTTGAAATTTATATCCTTTGATTTTTATTTGATACAGAGAGAGAAATGATGAGAGAGATATAGCAAGGGGGAAAGAGAGAGGTTGGGGAGTTGCAGCCAGAAGGAGAGGGAGAAGCAGACTCCCCACTGAGCAGGGAGCCTGATGCAGGACTCAATCCCAAGACCCTGAGATCATGACCTGAGCCGAAAACAGACGCTTAACTGACTGAGCCAACCACGTGCCCCAAGGGTCCTCTTTCTACTTCTTGTAGAAGAAGGGCTATACTCCAATTACCCTCCTCCCAGGCGACTTCCTCTTCTAGCCCATAAAGTATTTCTCATTAGGTAAGAGAAAAAAATCTTCCAATTTAATCTTTAGCAGGTTCATCCTCTAGTAGCCACCCATATCCCCCACCCCTGCTAATATAACATAATATCTATGGTAAAAGTTCAGATAGATTTAGAATTTCCAGATGCTCATATTTACAGAATTGTTACCTGCCCTCACTTCATGTAGTTCTTTCTTTGCTCCTTCTAGCCTTTTGCAATGACAGGAGAAGCAGTCTAAAACATGAACATGGCCTTATAGTCATATAGAGTGCAGATGAAGCTAGTAAGGTTCTTATCTAACATTTAGTTAAAAAAAAAAAGAAGAATATATATGTCTTAGACAGAGCTGCTGTAACAGAATACTATGGACACGGTGGCTTATGAACAATAGGAATTTATTTTTCACAGTTCTAGAGGCTAGAAGTTCAAGGACAAGGTGCTGGCAGTTTCAGTGTCTCATGAGAACCCACTTCCTTGTCCACAGATGGTCATCTTCTCACTGTGTTCTTACATGGTAGAAGGGGCAAGGGAGTTCTCCTCTCTGGGGTCTTCTTTTAAGGTATTTTACAAAGTAGTAACCCCACTAATGAGAGTTCTGCTCTCCTTATCTGTCACTCCCTGAAGGCCCCGCCTCCTAATACCATTACCATGGGAGTTAGGATTTCAATGTATGATTGGGGGTAGGGGGTTGCATAATATTCAGTTCATTGCAAAATATATACAGAGATATATACATTTTGTTTTTATTGTGTTGTCAGCATGGCATTTAAGGGCTATGCATTTCCTTCTGGATTTTCTTCCCCTTATTAAAGATGCATCTGCAACCATTTGCTATTTTGTCTTAAGAGATGGTCATCCTTTCTCTTTTATTTTGTGTCTTACTCCTTGTATCAGGAAACCAGTGACCCAGTTTTACCTGGACCCTCTGACAATCTAGAAAATAGACACTTGGAATTCCCCCACTCATCTCTATCTCCATGCATTGGGCATTTATTGAGGATCTATGGCCTGTCTGGCACAAAGAGGGTTTGATCTCAGTCCTCCTGCCACCCCACTTCCCTTCACTGACCCCAGGCCTCGTGACTTCTTTCCACAGATGCCACAGTGAACAGAGAAAACAGCTTCCAGTCCGACAGCAGCGGATTCCTGGATGACCCCCTGGAACCATTCTCCTTGCAGGTAGAGGGCCACTGGTGGGTTGGAATAGGAGTAAAAGGAAAGATAAGCAGAAAGCACACCACACTGCCGTATTTGGGAAGGGCAGCCAGCCTGTAGAAGACATGCACCACAGGTACCCAAGGGGCGGGGGATTGGAGTCACACCAAACAAGGTGCCAGAAAGCTTAGCATTCCTTTCTTTCTTATTTTCTTTTGATTTTACCAAACAAGGAAGCGAGCTTCATAGACGGAAGGGCTTATTTAAAGTGTGACCTAATGGAAACCTGAGTTTGTAACTTTTATCTCCGGACCCCTAAGTCAAGGGTAATGACAAGGGACAGACCCAAGCACATCTTAAACCAACCCCTTCCCCACCGTCCTGACCCATTTGCCTTTATCCTGGTTTCTCACACAGATGCCTTCCTTGCCAAGCAGCCAGAGTCCTATTGAGAATGGATGTAGAGAGCCAAGGGATCAGAGCCAGTGCTTAGTGCCACCCCAGGACTGCCAGCAAGATTCAGATGAATCTGATTCCAAGAGTATGGTGAACAGAGCCTTTTCAAATCAAGACTGGAGTGTCATGGAAGAAAAGGCCTCAACATCTACAGTGGAGGAAGAGTCTCTGTTTGAGGATATGGAGAAGCCTCCAGAGCCATTGACCCCATATACAGCCCTTGACAGGACCACCAGAGGGGGAGAACACCCAAGGAAAGACAGCCATCCAAGGCAGGACTTGCCCAGGCCCCAAACTGGAACTGAGGCCCTGGTGCGTCCAGCTAGCTCCAGGTGGGACTGTCCTCTGGGGTTTAGGCTGCCCCACAGCACAGAAGCGAAGGATGGGTTTCTGAATCTTGAGGTAGCTGAGGAAACATCCGTGCAAAGCCACCACTGCAAGTCCCAAAGACCACGGGGAGCTGATTCTGCTCACAACAAGCCTCTTCATGTAGACGCTGAGGCAACCTGTCCTGACACCAATGGTACCTCCGTGACAGGAGAGAGCCCACCACAGCATGTCCCCAGGCCCAGTAATGTCACCTCCTATACAGTTGACCTTATTCAAATGTCTGCAAAGTTCATTCCCCACCTCGACAAACCCACTGGAGATACTCCCCACGCAAAGACAGTATGTCGTGCTTTGGGTCAAATACCACATCAAGCAGAATCTGAGAGGGGAAAGCTTCCTCCAAACGCTGACTCAAACGCTGCTGGTTCCAAGTTGGTGACAATCCAGATGTCCTCCAACCTGGCATCGGCTGCTCCGGATGCTGGGGCTTTGGGGACTGATTCTAAAGGAACAACTTTAGAATGCACCGTGGGTGACCTTGCTCCCACAGCAGAACCAGGACTGGAGACAAAATCAAGACAGTGCCGTGATGTTTCTGTTCAGGCCGATATACGTGAGCTTAGACCCTGGCACTGCTGTTCAGGGCAGAGTAACAAGGCCCGGCGCCTCACCAAATCTGTCTCTCTGGACACAGGCTTCTCTTATATTTGCCCACCAGGCATCTGCCATGCTGAACTCACCCACGGCTGTGTCTGCTGCCATCACCAGCCCCACTGCCATTCAGAGAGGCAGAGCCCCAGCCCTGTGTCTTCAGCCTATAGACACTGCCTGTGCTCCCATCACCATCTGGAAGCCCAGTTCATGAAGACTTTGAATGTCCTTCAGGACACCGCAGTGAAGGAGCTGTGCTCAGTAAGTATTCCTCTCTGCCAAGACAGGGCGGAAGGCCGCTGGAGCAACACCACCTCAGGGAGAATGTTCAGGCCACCCAAATGTGAGCTCTCAGCGCAAACCCTTCCATCTCAAATCATGAGTAATATCTGTAGAGTGCTTTATAGCTTACTACATATTCTCACAAATTTCTCTTCTTTTTTTTAAGGATTTTACTTATTTATTTGACATAGAGATCACAAGTAGGCAGAGAGGCAGGCAGAGAGAGGAAGGGAAGCAGGCTCCCCGCTGAGCAGAGAGCCCAATGCGGGGCTCGATCCCAGGACCCTGAGATCATGACCGGAGCCAAAGGCAGTGGCTTAACCCACTGAGCCACCCAGGCTCCCCTCTCACAAATTTCTTCTTATCTGATGCATCCAATCCCCTCCGGAAGTAAGGAGGCAAATTTCATTATTAATCCTCATATGACAGAGGGGTATAGAACAATAAGTTCACGTGTAAGGTTATAAATATTAACGCATCTGTACCTCATCTCCAGTTCAGTCTAACTGAACAATTCTCTGTCTTAAATTCACTTAGCTGAATAATCTTGCACAAGCCATTATTACATCTCTCTTGATTCTAGTTCCTGCTTTGCAAAATAGGGAGACTCTTTTTTTTTTAATAAAATTTTTTTTAAGATTTTATTTATTCACTTGACAGAGATCACAAGTAGTCAAAGAGGCAGGCAGAGAGAGAGGGAGGAAGCAGGCTCCCTGCTGAGCAGAGAGCCCTGATGCGGGGCTCAATCCCAGGACCCTGAGATCATGACCTGAGCCGAAGGCAGAGGCTTTAACCCACTGAGCCACCCAGGCACCCCAAATAGGGAGACTCTTAATGCCACAGACACAGGATTGTTTTAGGATTAAGCGAGAGAAAGCTTGTAAAGCACTCGGCATGCGCAGATGCTCAGCCCAGTGCCCAGCCCACAGAAGGCCCTAGAAAATGCTAATTGAGTGACTCCTGTTCTTCTTACTCATTTTTATCATTATTTTATTATTGTTCAGCTCTTGAATCTAGAGCTTCTCTAGAAGCTCCATGTCAAATGGAGGGACTCCTGCTCCATCGTGGGTGAGTTTATTTAAAAGTGGACGTTGAGTTTACTGAAAACTGCCTGACCCCCAACCTGTTCAGCCCCTGATAAATCAATAAGCATTTAGTGAGTCCTTCCTGTGTCCCCTCTTCCTTGATTCTCAAGGTGAGAAATGATCTAGGCTTTTTTTCTTAAAAAAAATTAAGAGCATCACACATGAAATCACCTGTATTGAAAGTGAAAAAACAGAAAGGTGGCACAGCTGTTCAAAGGAGAGTGGAAGGCAACTGTTATTTATTAAGCACCTACTGTTCGAGGCCTGATGGGTTACCTTCCCATTCTTTTAATTCCACATTTATTTATTTATTGGGTGCCTATGCTAATCACTTTATTTACCATATGTTGCATAACCCTCATTTTCACCCATACCATAAATCCTGAGTCCCTCATACATATGCCAAGTCCTCCCTCTTTTACAAATGAGGAACCTAGAATCAAGAGAGTATAAGTTTCCAACTTCCTCTACTAATAAGTGGTTAATTCAGATGCTAATTCAGATTTAGCTGACACCAGATTCTTGGACAACATACCCCAGGCAATGGTGTGTCTAGCTTTAAAATATCTAAATCTGAAGAAGTGTAATGGCAACATGAGAAAGTGATTATGTGAAAGACAAGGCAATTACTACCTAGTCCTGCAACATCTAGAAATCTGCATAAATGTTATATAAACATAGAAAGAGAATCAATGAAAGATAAGTGATTTACTCATCATTTTTCAAATTGCAAGGTTTCAGGCATTTGGAATCGAATTTATCTGAGATTATACACCCTGAAATACGTACTATCTCAGGTTTTATTAGATGACAATGCATTTCTCCTTACTTAGATTCGAGGAACCGCAAACATACACTCAAAGAAAACAGTCTTTTTACATGTGCATTATTATACTTGTGGGCAGGTGCACACACAGGCACATAGAGACCAGCAGAAAAGCAAGTGAAAATGGGGGATTGCATTTGTGCACAAGAGCAGGCTTCTTAAGCCAAAGAACATACTCAGGAACAGAGAGAAAAGGTATCTGTGGTGAGTGAGCCTGGGTTTGTAAGGCCCAACTAATATTCTGGAGAAAAATATCTCTAAATCAGATGCCAGCTGCTAACTAGGGTTACAAAAATTATTTATTAAAAAAAATCTGGAAATGAATTTGGACTAAGTGAAGATTATAGGCAGGGATAGATACTATCTACCACCCATTCCAAGAAGGTGTTGAAAGTAAGAGCAAGTTTAGGTAAAAGACTCAGAAAAACATTCCCACCTCCTCCCCTTAGAGAGGAGTGCATAACAGTGCAGAGATTCACTTGACTTACTGGTAAATGTTATTTTGGTGGTCTTGTGGGTCACCATGGTTTGTTGATAGGATTAATTCTTTTTTTCTTTTAAAGATTTTATTTATTTATTTGACAGACAGAGATCACAAGTAGGCAGAGTGGCAGGCAGAGAGAGAGGGGAAAGCAGGCTCCCCGCCGAGCAGAGAGCCCGATGTGGGGCTCGATTCCAGGACCCTGAGATCATGACCTGAGCTGAAGGCAGAGGCTTAACCCACTGAGCCACCCAGATGCCCCTCGGATTAATTCTTATGTATATGTGAATTCTTCATAATAATTTAGCAATTAAAAAATACTTTCTATACAAGAAAATAAGAACATCTGAAATTAGATTTTTGGATATTAGAAAATTCTTCTATAATGTTGATGATTTAGATTTAAGTAAAAAGCATACACAGCTTAAAAAATAAGATGAACCGATTCAAAAGTGGCATTTCAATGTTTTCTCATGGTATTGCTCTTATTATTGAAGTTAAAGTTTGTTTTAATGGACTTGGGTCAGTCAAGTAGACCTTGAATTGACTTTAGGTTATAACCCAGCACTTACATTGGAAGAAAGAGTTCCAAACAGCCCTTTTATTTATTTTTTTTTTTTGCTTGCCTAGTGTTTCCTTTTTTCTGAAAACTACTATACCTGTTCTAGAACTGAAATGTACTTTTAGTACTTCCAAATGACCAGGAGATGGCAGTGTTTCAGAATCTTCCACCTCACACCCTCCGGGCCAGCTATCAGTACTCCTGAATCCCAGACCCCTGTGCCTTCCAATCACAAAGAGTTACCCCAGAATAACTAGATGAAGCGTAAACTTTAATGTTTCTAATGCTCAGCCTACTTGAGCACCATATTTCCATCCCTAGAGTTTGGTCGGCCTGTAGGAAATCTACTAGGACCATTCAGCCAGCTCAGTCCTAAGCGACAAATAGCTTGTCCCCGTGTCCAGGCACACTACTGTGACTCAGTTAGATCTGGAGAAGAAAAGATATGACTCAGGCTTGAAATCTTTTGGACCTTGGACAAGTCAGTTTGCCATTCTGTGTCAGAACACCTCTCTATAAAAAAAGCCCTTCATCGTCTCGAAGATCTTTTCTGGTTTCAAGAGCCATAATTGTAGTCCCCTTTCAAGCATGCTTGCCAACATCAATAACACCTCAGATACTCCTCTAACTGGTTCAAATGCGCTCACACTGAAGCAAAAGTAATTAGAGAGTTTTGCCATGTAAAATATATTATTCATACATAAAAGTTAGGGGACAGAATCAAACCAAACTCTCAGATCAAAATGATGAGGAGTTTTCAGTATAAGAACATCACTTGTAGGAAAGTATTTCCATTATGACAATTCCAGTAAAAGTAGAAGTGAAGCTCCAAGGATCTTGGCCATGGGGTTTGGGGGAGAAAAGTAAGAAATCTGGGACTTCCTTAAAACAGGGCTAAGAGGAATTAACATAGCTGTAAGACTGGTCTCCATGGAAGGAAGAAGAAGATAAGCTTGAAAGACAGCTGCCAGAAAAACTAGTTTCCTTTCAAGAACTTTCCAGAAGCCCCACCCCACGCTTTCCACTTTGATCTCATTGCCATCCTACTGCAGGGGATGCTGGGAAATGTCATTTGTTAGACACATTGTTACCCTAAGATATTAGAAGTCTCTTCATGTGAATAAAGGGGAAAAAAACAGTGAGCAGGCAACTAACAGCCTCTGCTATGCTACTCTGGGCGGTGGGGAGGAGAGCCAAACCCATACGCATGGTAGAGAAAGCATTAGGATCTAACAAGCATTAATGTCACTTAAAGTCAGATGGGTGGAGATGTTGGGGTTCTAGATCATGCATCTTTATTTATTTATTTATTTATTTATTTATTTGACAGAGAGAGAGAATGAGTGGTGGGAGGGGCAGAGAGAGAAACAGACTCCCTGCAGAATAGAGAACCTCATATGGGACTTGATCTCAGGTTCCTGGGATCTCAGGCTCCTGGGATCAGATGCTTAAGCGACTGAGCCACCCAGTCACCTTCATGCATCTGTTCAAAGCATGATCCAACCTGGGCTGGAAAAGAAGGCGGATATCTAGTAAGAACTCAGCAAATCATCAGGTTCTCAACAAATGGACTGGACTTAGGGGCTTCAGGAAGATACACAAATTAGGACACCACGGCAGAAGCAGAGTCACACAGAGAAATTTAAAAACAATTTAAAGAATGATTCACAGACGAATGGATAAAGAAAATGTGGTGTGTATATACAATGGAATACTATGCAGCCATCAAATAAAAAACTGAAATCTTGCCATTTGCAAAGATGTAAATGGAACTAGAGGGTATTATGCTAAGCAAAATAAGTCAATCAGAGAAAGACAATTATCAGATGAGCTCTCTGATAGGAATATGAGAAACAAGACAGAGGATCATAGGGGAAGGGAGGGAAAAATGAAACAAGACGAAACCAGAGAAGGAGAAAAAACCTTAAGAGACTCCTACTCTCAGGAAACAAATTGAGGGTTGCTGGAGGGGAGGGGGGTGAGAGGGATGGGTGGCTGAGTGATGGACATTGGAGAGGGTGTGTGTTATGGTGAGTGCTGTGAATTGCGAAAGGCTGATAAATCACAGACCTGTACCCCTGAAACAAATAATACATTATATGTTAATTAAAAAAATAAAAATAAAGAACCATTCACATCAGGAACAATAAGGAGCAGGATGGGGAGCATAGACAGAGTTTAATTCTAGATTCCAATTCACAAAGAGAGTAGGATGCCTAACTGATGCCTCCCTTACTCTGGGTGAGCTTGTTAGCCACATGGAGCTGATCCTGCAGATTTCACCATCAGGGACTGTGGTTAAGCAGGGCTAAGACTGATAAATAAATAAATAAACAAACAAACAAACATATATATATATATATGTACATATATACATATATTATTCTAAGCAGACTTTCTCTAATCAAACACATAGCATTGGGACAGATGTGTTCAACGTTATTGAGATTCAGAGTGAGGCAATATTCAATGCCCGCGTTAAACAAGATTTAACAGGACTCAGCTTTCCTAAGCACAAGCCATCTCTCCAACACTTTTCCCCTGATTTCCTTATCTGTGTCTTTGTACCCTGACATCACCTAGTTCTTCAGACAGCCGTCCTGTCTCCGGGACATAATGTCTCCAAGAGCCAGTCAACAACCAACTGCTGTCCTTCTGTCCCAGGTAAATATTGCCTCTGCTCACCCGGAGAAGCCAGAGGCTGGGCTTTCCATCTATTCTTTCCCTTGCCTCAGCGATGGGGCTTCACTGTAGACAAGGAGCCCTTGGGGGGCAGGCAGGCTCCACCATCGTGAGATTTTGCTGTGAATCAGAAAGGACTTCCTTTTCAGCTCTTTCTAATTGTTCTCAGTGCACAGTCCAGGAGATGGAAGTGATGAAGATGGTGTGCCAGAGTTTCCAGGAGCATTTGGAGGAAATTGAACAGCACCTTACAGGACAGCAGGCACTCTTTTGCAGGGACATGTCAGAGGAGGAAAGGTAATTATCAAAGAGAGTCATAAAAGTAAGTAGAGCCCACACACCTGAAGCAAGGAAAAGTAATCAGGGCAGGACAGATGAGCACCCAGGAGCAGGACTAATGAGAAATGAGTCCCTTTCCTTGGCTTTCCTGTTCTTGTTCTTGCTTTCGCAGTAGGAATCCATGAGAGCTATTTGTGAGATAGCAACACTTACTCTTTAAGGCCAAGGCTATTTGAGGTCAGAAGATGGGCAGTCAGCTGAGAAGATGGGGGATAGCCAGCAGGATATTTTCCATTGATGTGAATGGGGCTTATGCAAATGTAAGTGTTGGAGGTTATTAGAGTTTTGGAAATCTGCATTATTTTCACATAGCTGAAAAGCTTATGCCCCAAACATAGATTAGCTGCTGCCTGGGCCTGAGGGGTGGAAATAGGGATTAACCATAAAGGGGCATGGGAGTTTTTATTGGGCAGATGGAAGCTATCCCAAACTGACCAGTGGTGAGTGATGCAACTTGGCAAATTTATTAAAAATCATTGCATTGGACTGTTAAAATAGGTAAACTCTGGGTATACAAATTATTCTACAATACAGTTGTTTAAAAAAGAAAGAACACCTGCCCTGGTGATATACCATATCTGATACAAATAGAGAAGGTGACAGTCCCTTGTAAGAGATGTCAGAGGCGTGACCTACCTTTTGAGAGGGACGATGGAGGACTGAGCTTGGAGCTTGGAGATGATGGGAAATGTGGTCAATCTCTGTTCTTTAACTGCAGGCAGGAGGCCAAACAGCTGCAGACTCTCCGCTGGGCCCTGCAGCAGCAGGTGGAGGAGCTGGCGTTTCAGTTTGGAGAGCGGGCTCAGCAGATCAAAGACGAGATTCTATTGGTACGGGGCGGTGGAGGGTGACACTTGACTCCATCCTGCAGACCGCCGGAGGGATGCATTAGATCAGAAACCTGATTGTGCGATCCTTTCAGATTCTAGGATTATGTGCCAACATCTTCATTTTAAATATAAAGACATTGAAGCCTTTGCTCAAGGTCACATGGCTAGTTGCTGGCACTTGAGGATTAGAACTCAGGTCGTCTAATTGCTATGCCAATCTTTCCTTCTGCCCTGTAAATAAGCAATACATATTAACAATAATTATTATAATTATAATTATTATTGGCCATTTTCCCAATGAGAATAAGAAACACAACTTTTGAGTTGGCTTAGCCACTGCCAGAATTTGCTGCCAGCTCACAGAGCCCACTCTAGAGAATTCCCCACCCAGGAGCACCTTTCCCACAAGTCTGGCTTAACTGTTTGGTGCCAATATGGTAAGCTGCTCACTCTTCTTGTTCTTATCTTCCATTTAGCACTTTGAGCTTCTCACAGAGGAACTCACTGAACACTTTCCAAACCTGAATGACTGTAATTGGACAGAAGAAAAGAATGAGCAGACTTCATGTGCTAAAGTCCACCCAGCCATGGCCCCCCGGGTTGCCTTTCCTTCCCGAGATGGCCAGCAAACTCTCAGCTCAAGGGTGACCCATTTACCTGCCTTCCCTTCACCCACCTTGGAGAGCAGAACCAGGATGTCTCCTCCAGCTGGGGCAGAGTCAGGCCCAGCCCCCTTGTCAAATTGTCCTATTGGAGATAAGGGTACAAATGTCTTCCTCTAGATCAGAGTGGTTTTGATGACCTTCCTGCAAAGTGTAAGAGCACATTCCAGCCAGACAAGGAAATCTAAATGGCCCCCCCAGAAGTGTCTGTCAACCTGCTTTGGCTCTTTTTAAGAATATTCTACTCTGTATTTCAACCCAGGAGAAACTCAATATTTCAATATTTATTCAATACATAATAAGTGAGCACCTACTATGTGTCTGGCACAGGGAATACATGGGGGTCAAAATATGTATACATATCTCTAGATATAAATGATAGACAGTCTTTGCCCTGCAGAAACATGGAGTCTATTGGGTAAGATAGAATGTGGATACATAAAGACATATGGATTTGAAAACTGTGAAAGAGATTTAAGGAAAATCGCAGGGTTTTATGAAAGAGAACATAGCAGGGAATCTGACTGAGATCAAGCTGTCAGGAGTGCCTGGTTGAGGAAGTGACAACAGAAGAGGGAAAGAAAATCCAGGGCTCAGAAGGGCCAGCCTGTCCAATGGCCTGAGGCAGTCGGCCCCTGGAAGCATTGATGAAGCTCCCACCATGACCCAGGAGATCCTGGGTCAGGACAGTTGTAAACAAGACAGACATTCGACTCATAAATAGCTGGATGGAGAGCGGAGAAAAGAAGAACAACCAACAAGATAACTTCAACATTGACAAATGCCATGGAGAAGACAGCGTGTGAACTATGTAGGGGGTGGTGTGGAAGAGAAGCATACAGAATTCCTCAAGGTGACGGGCAGGGCCTTGCTGAAAGGAGGCTATTGGGCTAAAACCTGGATGGTGAGGAAGAGGAAGCCACGTGAAATTCTGAGGGAAGAACCTTGAAAGCAGAAGGAATGGAAAGTTTAAAGGCCCTGAGGCAGAACCAGCCAAAGTTGCTGAGCACATGAGTGATGGGAGCGTGGAGGGCGAGGATGTCCATAGGCTGACTGTATGCTGGGGTCTGAGAACCAGGATTCTTCTTCCTTGTGGAAGCCATTACAGGCTTTAAGCAGGATTGTCAGATAGTCTGGTTTACATTTAAAAATCCCACTGACTGCCTGTGGGGAGCAGCGGTTGGGGACCTGCCGCTAGGCAGTGCTCCCAGGGACGAGGCTGTTGGTGTAATCCCTGTGGTAAGAAGCAAAGTGTCGAGTTCCTTCCACGCAGCTGGAGAGGCTTGGGAACCACCACCGCCCCCCATTGAAACACGCGATGCACTGGCAGTCTTAAAGCCCTGGAGGAGTTCTAAGAAAAGGGGAATGAAAGAAGAAAGGAACAGTCAGAAGAACTTCATGGAAAAAGTAATCCCTTGAGAGAAGTTATAATGTGTAGGAGATGGGCCAGTGGAGGTCACTTCCTAGAAGGGAAACTCAGAAGCTATTTCTTTGGAAACTAGCCACTACCAGATTGGGCCTCCTAGCCTGTATCATTCTTCATCCTCTTTGCTTTTTGAAAACCCTTTGGCTTCAGTGGAAGCCTCCTACCCTGTGGACCATTCCAGTTTCCTCTGTTGACTGCCCTTTCTCAGACTGGGAACATTCCCCTTCCATCCTTAATTTTCTTTTTTTTCTCTCTCCACACCAATTTTCCCAATATGTGCAATCTACAAGCACCCGTCTCCAGTTCCTGCCCTCTCCAGAATTCCTGCCCAGCATTCTCTACTCTCTATAACATATTTGCACTTGGAAGACTTGCCTGTCTGTCTCACTCAGCCTCCAACCTGATCCTGTCATTTCCCAGAATCGGTTCATCTTCCTGATACTTTCTGTCCACGGCATTATCGTTCTCCTTGATGTGTAGACTCAGAGCCACAAATTCATGTTGTCTCCTAGTCCTCCTTCATCCTCTTCCCTCAGAATCAATGATCACATCAACACTGAGGGTACTGCTACAGTGTCATTCCCACAAGCCCCCTCAGAACCTACTACTTGGTGAACACCCAACTGAGGGGCCTTCTAATTGCCTCTAGCTTCCTTCTCTCTGAGCTATACTGGCCTCTGCCAAAGTGGTCTCCCTTGGTCATCACTTGAGTCATAATACCCTGGCCTAGGGTGAGTAGCCAGGGAGTCCTTTTAGGCTATTCTAGAGAACTAGAGAGAAGTCCCAGGATTATCCTGCCTAGAGCAGTCTTGCCCCAAACAAGCTGTATGCCACCTCCTGCATTCTGCTGCCTCATTTCCCTGGACCACATCCATCTTTTGGCTCCTGCATCATGGTTCAGCTTCCAGCCCTAACTTGGCTCCTGATATACTGCATATATATGTGCATATGTACATTACGTATGTATATGGTACCCCTCAAATTTTTTTCCCTTTCTAAACTTAAACTTAAATTTAAATTAAACTTAAATTTTTTACTCTTTCCCTGGGTCAGACGCTAGGCATCCTTGTTTATCTCCATTTTTCCAATGTAGACTTTGAAAAGCTTGCCATAATTTCTGGAGATGACTTCAGATGTGAAGGGGGAGGCAAAAAAGACCCATTGCCTTCAGATGAAGGGTAACATCTGAAATCTCTTAAGGATCACTAAACATCTCATGGTATTTCTTTGTTTATTCTCCAAACTCTCCAACAAAGAGCACCAAAGGGGAACCAAGATGTAGGGAGCTGCCCATCAACCCAGAACTTTTGCTGTCTTCAGCCCATCATGACCTGATTGCCAACACTACTTCCAAATATCATCTTCTGTAGTTCATGTCCTTCTTCCCATAAACATGAAACCTCTAGAAGCCCAGGCCACCTGGCGATCTATGAAGTAACTGCTAGTGTCCCCAGGGGTTCTCTATCCTGAATACCCTTTAGACCCACTGGGGAGATTTAAAAAATACTGACATTGAAACCCCACCCCAGATCAATTAAACAAGAATCCCCAGGGATGGGATCCAGCTACCCACAAATTTTAACAGCTCCCCAAATTATTCTAATATGCAGTTAAAATTGTTGCTCTGGATGAAAAGGCCACCTTACAATTCAACTGTTCTTGTTGTTTTCCAAGGACTCTCTTTTATTTCCCATTTTTCTTTCTATACCACCCCTCTTAGCTAAAGAAGTCTTTCATGATTCATTGACAACAATTGAATTAGGAAACTGGGAGAGAGGAGAAATAAAAATGATGTGTAGACTTCATTTCTATTTTTTTAGCATTGACTTCTACCTTGCTCATCAGTTCTTTCATTTCATCTTTATGTATAAAGAAGTAGTAAACAGATGACTTTGTTCTGTTTTCCTTCCTTTCCCAGAAGTCCTATTCCAAATTTGACAAACCAGATTAAATACACATATTTGATCAGTAGGTCAGGATAAGGATTATTTGTTTCTTCTATTTAACACCTTCCTTCTCTTGGAGGAAAATGTCTGTATAAAATAGCCCATGACAAAAATTATGGATATGTAAGTAGTCTTCTAAATGTATATAGTTCTCCCACCACTAGGACACAGCACAAACATTCTAGAAAGATAAACAATTAGACAAATTTCCTTTATGGTGTAAATATTAAATGTAAATGTAAAACTGGGTGTTTTGAGTATTATTTATAGTACATGAGGATATGAAGCAAGTTTCTCAAGGACAGAATCTACAACACACATTTAGGTAACTCAAATACTCTGACCTTATGATCTCCCCTTGCATTCTTCCACCGTTTCCATAAATAAGCTTCTAAAATTCATGTGCATATCATACTATTTATAGCAGCTACAGTGTTTCACTCCAATATCAGTGTACTCAACCTAAAATATCATAAAACATTACGGTTATGGAGCGAATGTTGAAGCAAAGTAAATGCCTTCCACCTTGAACCTTCAGGCATCCTTTGCTGGCCTCTTTATTCAAGGTGATAAACAATGTCCCATACTAAGCACTTACCTTATAATCTCTTGTTCTCAAACATGGGTTCACAGCAAAACTGCTCACTAGGCTTGGAAAAAAAAGGTTTTTTTAAGATTATTTATTCATCTGAGAGAGAGAGAGCAGGGGGAAGGGCAGAGGGAGAGGGAGAAGCAGACTCCCTGCTGAGTGTGAAGCCCAATGCAGGGCTAGATCCCACAACCCCCAAGACGAAGATGCAACCTCAGCTGAAACCAAGAGTCCAATGCTCAACCACTCAACCAACTGAGCCCCCCCAGGCACCCCCAGGCTCAGAAAATTTTTCTTCTCAGAACCTAGCTTAAAGCTAAATAAGATTCCACTTTGGAGTCCAGATGTAATTTGACGAAGTTCAGAGGTGTTTTTTACCTGAGTTGCTTCCACACAAATAGATGGAAACGAAGATTTGGTTGTTACCAGTTTATATGATCAAACTGGATAAAACGGATGGACAGACCATACAGGTCACCATTTGTTTACACAAAAATAGGAGTCTTTGCCTGTGACAAACTTTTACCTCATTTGAGTCTCACAATGCTAAAGGAAGTATTCCCCACCTGAATGATGAGAAAGCTAAGAAATGGAGAGGCTGACCTCACAAGCACACACTGAGTCTTGTGCTTTATTAAGAAGCAACTGCATGCTGGGGGTAGGAGCTCAAGCTCTGGAGTTAAATCCAGGGTCTGAAGCTTAAACCCAACTCTACTACTTATTATCTGTGTTGGGTAAACTTCTTAATCCCCAAGCTTCAGGGTCACCATGTATAAATTATCAGAGTGAATACATATATAGTCCTTTAGAACGAGCCTGGAATACGGTTCAGTAGGATTCCATACCGAGTATGGCTCAGTATGATTAAGATTCTGATGACAATAATAAGAAGAGCGGAAACTCCTTAATACCTACTTCCATGCAAGGTATTGGGCTAGACATTGTATGTGCATTATCACTTTTCTTCACAACCATCCTGAAAGTCAAGAATGAATACACACGCACACACACATGCTCAAAAAGACTGTAAATTGTCTAAGTTCTGGAAACTAATTGGAGACTGAGTTGACTCTCTGATTCCCTGCTTTGCCAGTGGTTCCCCTTTATGGCTCTGCCAAGATTTGGGGCTTATGGGGAGCCCACTGATGGGTCCAAATCAACCAGAATAGCCCTGCTCCTGACTACATTACGTAGTGGGCTTCAGCAGAGATTTTTCTTAAAAAAAAAAAAAATCCTCTCCTTACTATAGAA